ATAAATCTCTTCAGATTTGCTATACTAATGAATGAAAACCTAAGTACTGTAACCTAATTGGAAAGAGTTGTTGGCTTCTGACAATGTCTCTTCCAATGAGTAACACTTTCAGTGTTAGCCTCTCTCCATTCTATGGATGCACCAAAAATCCATATGATCCTACCGGGCATTTGCCATTGTTGAGAGTCATTTCATCCAGAAGCTCAATTGTAGATTCCTAAAAACAAGGCTCATGCTAAAGAATTTTTCTATGAACAGCTCATCATGAGGAACAACTCTCTCACAAAGTAAAACACATTTCTGTTTTTCCACAGGGAACGGCAGGCTCTAAATGGATTTTTCAGGCATAGACAAATTCTGCGTTCTAAATTTGATCCTGAGATAACTGGTGGAACAAGGCTTGTTGGTGTAAGAAAATGTATGAAATTGCTTTCTTCTAGTGAAGAATGGGAACTTTTCCACCGTGTGTGAGCAATATGATGCATGTGGCACTATAAGCATCCATTTCCTACTCCAGAAAATCTGTCTCTGTGAAACAAAATGCTTTTTATGATCCCACTCCAAGGGGATCATAACACCACAATAACCCCAGTCTCTTTTCTCTTTTTACAAACACCTACGCACATGTCTAAATCAAGTTCAGACTGAACAATAACAAAGTCTGGAGCTTTTCTAATAGTCTCAGAGGAGCTGTTTCCAACCTCTTAGTCACGATTGACCCATCGGAGAGAGATATATCCATCTCTACATCTATCGAGCATCTGAAGTGATATAATAAAAATAAACACTTGGCATGAAGGCTTTCTCTGTAACATGATGAAAAGAAGAATAATGTAAGTTTTATACTTAGGACTTGACCTTGTAAAGTTTTGGCCCGGCGTCCTGCTTTTCAAAGACCCCAAACAAAAGTCTCGCCAGACGGTGAATTGAGGGGCAATGAGGTAGCCGAGTCAAAAACTGAAGCCAAATAAACGTACGCACATGCTCTGTAGGCTTACGCTCATTTGTACTGACTACTTGAACACACAAACACATGCACAGCAGGGTACCCATTTTTCGCCAAACTGATTGTGGAAAGGTTGTCCCACACACCCCCTGGGAGATGCAGGGAAACTCTTGCTGTTTTTGCAACAATTAGAACCCAGTAAAACTCAGAGGAGAAGCATTAACTGTTATGGGCTCTAATGCAGGGCGAGAAGCAATGGGCTCATCCCTGTTTGTTCCAGATTAATTCTGTTGGAATATACAAGTTGCCATCCTAAAAAGCAGAAATGCACCATTGGAAAAGTAAAGATGTGTCTCCAGAAAGCATGAAACCATTGTTTATGACACCATTAAAAAAGGGAAAGAAGGGACAGCTAGAACAAAAACCATAATCAATTAATCAAGTATTAAAGAGGACAAAATGGGACGATGCAATAATAACTCCCTCTAATTACATCACAAGTTTTTTTTCACTAAGTGGTCCTTTGATAAGGGCCTTTTGTTGGATGTTGTTGTCACGCCATGCTAAGCTCGCAGGCCTTTCTAAGAGCACAACCAAGTGCTGACAGAGTCGATGGGAGGCGGAGGAAAAATAACAAGGGGCGTCTGCCAAGCCTCCCCACAGCTCACTTTCCCTGTCTCTCCTTCTCCGTCCCCATGTTGCTGCCAGGCCAGTGGAAAAGCTTCCTCCGGTCCAGACAGTTATGAGAGAATGAAACAGCAAGCGGGATACTGATAAACAGAGATATAGGGAAGCAGACGAATGAATCAGAGAAATAGAACTAAGTGAATCTGCCACCATTGCTATTCACACATGTGGTAGGTTTAGAATAGTGGAAAACTCCTTTTTTTTTAATCCTTTGACTCATACCAAGCCAAAACTATCCGACAGGACAAGGAACTGATTGGTAACATGTTGTCCCATCATTCCTGAGGGCCATGTGTTTTTGAGTATCCACTCCGGCTAACTGATTTCCCCTTTTTTTTTTTCATCAGGACGTGCTACCATGAGGGCATACACACTTTGGGCAAAGGGAAGCAAAGGTGCAATTCTTTAGACATCTGCAGTAAAAAAAAAAATGTGTCAATGTATTTTATTCTCTGGGTCTTCTTTCTTCCTCCCTTTTTAGCCAAAAAGTAAATCCAGCTTATTAGTCGTAAATGTTTTGATCCAAGTTCTGATTAAGACCAGGGCCTGTATTCTGTTTCCACCGCCCTCCACTGCAGTTCCTCCCTCGGTATATCAACGGCACCAGTTAGCATTCCTTCAAATAAGTGCTGAAGAGTGTGTGAAAATAACACAGTAAGTGTATGGCTGGAGCCTCATCTTCCGGCTAAAGAGCGCCCTTAATGAAAACACACCCACAGCCGGGGCCTTAAAAGCAGGAGTTCCCAGTTTTCACTCACTTGCCTCTTTATAAACCTGTGAAACAAAAGGCCCCCGATGACAGAAGCAGGCGCGTTAGTGCACAAGTGCGTGGACTTTTGAAGGTGTTTTTTGGATTTGAATGCAGTAAAAAGGCTAGATGGGCGTTCACGGTTGCTGGAGAATGAGTGGCATTCTCCTTCATTTCCTGCTAACACCGAAAGCAACGGAGGCACATGTGCTGGCCCACTCTCAAACACGAGCACACCTCTGAGAGCACATCCAGCCCAGGCACGCTGGAAAGTCCTACGTGTGAGCGTACTGTTTATCCACACCGAATAAAAAAACTATTTGCTAAAGTAGTTTTGGCACCTCGAACAAGACCAAAAAACAGGAGTACGCTTAGAGACCAGAGTGACAGCTTACTCCTGCTGAGATCCAAATACGGCGCATACACCGCTGCGTATAATGACTGTTATTAGAGGATGATGAGCTGTTGGATACAGCCGCTATTAGAAAACACTACATTTATCTCCATTACATATTTCCCCGCGCAAAAAAAAACGTAACCAGTTATGAATATGAGGTCATGTGTTTTGTGGCCGTATACTCGGCGGTGACCTGCCGGCTGCTCTGCCCCCTTGTGGCCACAAGTTGTTGCCTGTTACACAAGCCTGTTGGAGGGAAACAGAAAGGGTACCTGAGAGTTCAACCCAGACAAACAGACACACAGACCGGTTTGAAAGTTGGATTCAAGACGAATGTTGAAATCGGAAATCGAAAAAAGTTCAACACGTTCAGGCCACTGAGGTAAACGGACTGGAACTCAGACAGTGTGAGTGTGTCCGTCTGTTTGAAATCTGTGTGTGTGTGTGTGTGTGTGTGTGTGTGTGTGTTTACGGGGAACAGTAAACCCGTGTAGTGGCTTGCATAGCACCAGGCGTGAGGCGGGCTGCGTGCGGCCCCTTGTGTATCCAGCGTGACTGTTGTTTGTGTATGCTCGGTCACGCTCTGGCACTTTGCATCACGGGCCGTAATGGGGCAGCTGGTTTTGGAACCCGGTATACGCGGCTAAGTAATGTGCCGCTCACACAAGCACACGCCCCGCTGCCCGTAACCACAAGTCGGCCTCATTGGCTGGCCGGGCGCCACACGTTGGAGGCGGTCGCACATGGTTACAGTTGCTCCTGGGTAAGGTTGCCCCTACGTCTGCGCCAGGCTTTTTAATGCTAAAAAAAAGACCATTCATTCTAGAAGGAAACCTAACTTTTTCTATTTTTTTCTAAGTTGAACAATTGAAGCAAAGAGTGTTAGAACTCATTGACATCTTTTCAGACCCAAAAACTCACGTTGTACTTTCGACATCGGGTAGGTTTATTCACGCTTTGTTGTGTCTTGCCCCATTCTGAAGACATCGCTATTCAGAAACTCGGTCACCTAAGTCCATGAGAGGCTGCACATACACCAGTGCAGACACACTCACTCACACTCACACACACACGCACACACAGGTACACGTGCACTAAAATTTTCTCTCCGCGAGCCAATGAAATAAAGAGATGCGGCCAAATGTTTTTGGATCTTAGAACTCCAGACCACTGTCTTTTCCAGACTCCCCCTCTCTCTGTTTGCCTCCAAACCCTCTCTTTACTCTGAAAGCCTGCTGCTGAAACACATGTGATCATTTTGGAACCTTCTCCATATTTTGGATATTCTCTCAGTGTCACAAATGTTCCACTCTATCCCCCTATTCCCTTTTCATTCTTGTTCTTTTCTCTCTCCCCGTTTCTTCCTTCTCGGTCAGATGTTTGTTAGGCTGGGACACCTGAGGACTCACAGCTATCTGTCCTTCTCGCTCTTTTTTCGATGGAGGGATGTCGTTACAGGAGGAATGCGGCGTCGCTTGCCAGAGGCGTCACAGTGGATAGATGGAGTGAAGCAACAGGGGGATAAATAAAAGAGAACAGAATAGAAGGGGATTTGCAGCCTTCCTTTGTGTTGATACATGCTGCTCGCCTGTGTGTTGCATAAATATGTCTAATAATCCGCATTGTTAATAGCAGTTACTTTACATGAAAGCATAAGATCCATCCACGAAAGGGAAGCTTCTGTCGCGACAGTTGTACATAACCTGCTACCACACTGCCCTATCCTTATTCACACTCATGAGACACGACACGCCCATTTCATCACCACTTCAATCCCAGATGTGTGAGCATAAATACAATCGAAGCCCAGAGCTGTAATTCAAATTCACAAAGCGAAGTAAACAGTCTCAATCAACGCTCTCTCTCTCTTTTCATGAGACCCAAATGATTCCAAAAATGATTACAGACAGGGTTACGGGGAAAAAAAAGGGTCAACAGCAGGTTTTCGTCTAGAAGTTTGGAGAACAAACTGTACTGTTTCCCTTTTTTAATCCACGAGTTGTTATTCTGTGCAGTAGCTTAGCACCGAAGAGAATTACATAGGTCCCATGACTGAGATGCTGAATCCATTGTTATTTTCACATACTTTTTTCACTCTCTAACTCTCTCTTTCTGTTTCTTTTTTCACTAAGTTCACTCCAGGCACATAGGACTAAAAAAGAGATGTCTGGACATGAGGATGCTGGCAGATCCAGAAGAAAGATGAGGACAGGCAGACTTACCTCTCTGTACTTTGGGGGTTGAAAGGCAGAGGGGGGGGGGGGCCCGGTGAGGGGGCAGCTGTAGGTGTGCGCTTCAGGTGGGTCTCACTTCTGCCTCCCTCCTTGCTTCAGCCAAGCGAGTCGCCCATGAGCTGCGATGGCATCAAATATTCAGTGAGCATGCGGCCAAAAAACGAGGAGAGGTGCCCTCCTGGGCAAAGAGCAGGCACTTTGAACGCGTCCGGTTCTTCTCACAAGAACGTGGGAAATTACTTCAAAAGCAGAAAAACTGAAGTTTAAAAAAAAAATGTTGATATTCTCAACTGCAGGTGGAGCAAAACTCTCTGTTCAGCTTTTATTTATTCTACCTCCCTTGGAAAAAAACAAAAAAAAACAGAAATAAAAAAAAGACCATCCATGTGCTTTCTGGAAGAGGTTGTGAAAGCGAGGGCTGGGATGAAAGCGAGAGAAGAGGGGAAAATCCTCTCTGAGCCGTCTTCAGGCTGTCCAGACGCAGGTCTGAGGAGCACCTTCCCGATCCGTGCACTCTCTCTCGCTCTCCAGGGTGGAAAGTAGGAGGGCAGGAGCAAGAGAGCAGGACGGCCAGAGGAGAGAGAGGGAGTGAATAACACTGTGGGGAAACTCAGTCTGTCACTCAGTCAGATTAGTCAAGGCGAGAAGGCAGCAGGACAGTGTGTGTGGAGCTGAAAAGCTTGCGGGTCCCAAGCGGCGTGCGCTCGCACTCTCAAGACTTATAAACCAGGGGCTGGGCAACGGGCTGCTCCAATCTCCCCGACTCAAACCCCGGTCCCTCTCCCACTGGCTTATTTTGGGAAAAGACAGACGGGATTGTTCGTCGGTGTTTAACCCCCTCCTCTCAAAAAAAACAAGTGTCTGTGGCTGGCTGCGGAGAGGAAGCAAGGGAGTGAGCAGGATGGGGTGGGGGCGCAGCCGCGCAGAGAGAGGGGTGGGGTGGGGTGGGATGAGGAGAATGGAACCAAAAGAGACCAGAAGAGGGGAATCTGGAGGCATCTTTTCTTCAAATTCTGCCTCCCAGTTCTTTTAAAATTCACCTACATTTTGTTTTCTTTTTTTGTTTTTCTACCTTTTGAAACCGAGTCCTTAAATCACCTCATCAGCCAAAGGTATAATTATGCATACTAACATTACACACCTCTCAAAGTTTAACCCTTCATTTTCGTACAAAGATTTCCCCTCTTTTAATGCTTATACAGAAGCCCCCTACACTGTTATCACTGTGAAATCCTGTCAAATCTTTGGCATTCTAATATATATTCTCACCATTGACAGTTCGATATTGAGTTGACTGTAGGGTGTGTTGGTTCTGTGACCGCAAAACAAGCCCATATCATCATCCTTCTGCCACCGATTCGACAGCCATTACTCATCATTGATGGGCTGTGCTTGGGTGTCACCACGTATGGTGCATTGCATTGGATCAAACATCTCCATGTTGGTCTCATCCATATGAAAGGACTTTGTTGTAGAAGCCTTGTGGTTTGTTCAGGCAGAACTTTGCCAACCCCTGTTTAAGATTGGGGATTAATTGCCTTAAGCATTCAAAATAGCTAAATGAGGCCTGTTGAGCCTGAGACGTGAGCACACATTAAGATTTGGCTTTTACAGAGTTACCTTAGATCAAAAGTGCCTGCCTGCTCTTCACCCCCTTCATTGACATGGAACATGAAGCAAAGATTACATTTTCCTTTAAACACAGCTTAATCGTTACGTAATGTTGTTGTTTTTTATGGTTGTAATTTAAAAATTTGCAACAGCAACCCACCTAATGATAGCTAAAATTGTGTTTTGCAGTGATAATCACTCCTTCCACTTAAGCTAAGCATCAAAAATGGGTTGTTTGCTAAAAGAATCTGGATGAAGTGTTGCAAGTGTTCCTTATCGTCCACCGGGTAACTTCCAATTGCCGACACAGCCGTAGCATTCAGGGTTTAATTGGCAGTGTGCTAGCTGGCCCTGTGCTCTGCTAGTGGACCTTGAAGAGCTTGCTGTTCTATGCCACTGATTAGATGTGCTGGAGGAACGGGGGCCAAGTCCTTTCCTGAAAGACCTACAGGGACCCAGCCGTTGGCTAAGTTTAGGATCGGATGGAGTCTGAGATTTTCCAGTTTTAATAATTATCAAGCCGCACCAGTTGGTACTGATTTATTAAAAGCTCTGCGGTCAAAGCAACACCCACTGATTCATTCTTTCAATCGACACACAAGTTGTAGCCAGTTATCAAACGCTGGCAGCCCTGCGGCACTTCTTTCAGTCATGTTGGGCTCAGGAAGAGTAATAAACGTCCCCAGACTGTATAATATACCAACCATTAGAACCAAGAGCGGGCTAACCTCAGCTTTTCCTTCCATGAGAACCAAATGTAATGTCTCAACAAGGGTATGTTTGGATAAGGTCTGTTATATTTAATGGGATCTGCTGTTTAAAGAGTGTCATTCTGGCCAAATTCACTTTGGATTTGCAGTGTTTTACTCGAACTTTTTTGGCAAATTCTGCATTCCTAAAGATAAAAATGTTCAAATATGAGCGCTGATGAAATAAAAGTGAGCTCATTTACTTCCAGACATGTGCGCTTTGCTGTCGGAAGATCACAAACTTTATCATTGTTCTCCGAGCTATCAAGTCTATAGAGTCTTCTCTCGAAAATGATTTTTTTTTCATGACTGGAGCCAATGAAAGCCAATCGAATAATCTTTCGAAAATAAGCAGCAGGCGTCATGTCTGTGAAAGAGCCATGGTGCAGCGGCCGTCAACTGAGTGCTTCTGTGAACGTGCGGAGGGTGGAGTGACCAGATGCCCGGCGATGATGTCATCAATGGGAACCCTATGTGGCCGTCTGGCCCCGCCATTCATTCAACCTCCAGGTGTGTCGTGCTGCGTGTGAATGCTGTTGTTGCTCACACCTTAGCACATAAGCAAAAGGCTGTCTGTAGCTCAGCGAGGCATAAAATTTGGAGACACACACAGCAACATAAAAAAGACACCCCCCCACACTGCCCCAGTCGTGGCCATGCTACAGTTGCACTGAAGAATTCAGCCTCTGGCTCCTCAAAAATCCAAGCCCTAATACTCTCGCATAACACACATTTATGCTCACTCATACCCTTTGGTCAGCACACACCCCCTCGAAAAATCCCCAAACCATTCACTTCAGCTTGGTAGAGAAATTCCCTCCCACTCGCTTGCTTTTACAAGGTGAAACATTCCCGAGAAAAGGGAAAAAACACCTGGTTGTCATAAGTTTCTTTTTTTTTTTTTTTACTTCACTTTTTTCTCCCTCTCCCCCCTTCCATTAGTAAGAGTGAAAACAAACAGAGGCAGTTTACTGACTGGAAAAGCTGTGCATTGCATCACACAGACGCGCATTCGCCATTGATGTTCATCAAAAAGCCCCCAAAAATAAGCCATGAAAAGCAGGCTGGCGTCAGAGATACACCCCACCCTCCACCACACCCGGTGTCACCGAACATAGACCCACTATGACTCCACGTATGAGGCTCTGTTCTGCTCAGAGGTGGGGTGTTTAGGGTGGAGTAGTTTGTTTTGGGGGTACACTGAGCATGTCTTTTCCGTGAAGGCTTCTGTGAATGGCTGGAGTGTGTTGTAGTCTCCAGTTGAATGTGAGATAGATTGAATTAAGCTTCGGGTTGTAAGTTGACCTAATTCATTCCACTAAGTGGTCACTCACTGAGGAAAGTATTGTGTGCAAGTAAATGCTTCAATGGCTGTGTAGATGGTTTTGATTATGAATCATCTTTTCTTTTTTTTTTTACTCCGAGGGACAACATTCTTTTATGTTTCTGCGCTGAATGGCAAGTTTGGACCTTCGCTGCACCTACAGTGCACTTATCTTCAGTTAAGCCCCTTTTTATTCAAATAAGCCGTCGATATCATGTGACAAAGGTCGGGGTTAAAGGTTCATACAAAAATAGCAGAGGACAGCTGATCCCCCTCATTTCACCACCGCTTTTATTGTCCCCGTTTTTACTCGCTATCAGCCTCTCTTTTCCAGCGGGCGACAAGAGGGCAGTTCTCCTGGAGGTGATGTGCTTCACCTTTGTCTGGTCTAACCTTACAAAGGAATGCCTGGCATTCACCAGGCTGTGCCTGCACAGGGCCGCCAAGGAGAGTGAAAAAAAAGGCCGGCGAGGGGAGATGGTTACAGGGAGTGGATAAAGCCAAGAGAAAAAGAAAAAGCAGGTTGATCTGATTTTCAATAGAAAGACCACTCTATTCAAAAGGGCATTTTTCATCTGGAAACGGGCTTGGGTGTCAGCTACTTTCTTTGGGGCAAGGGTGAAAGGTGTAGGTGGGACAGAAAAGCTGGAGAAGGAGACGGTTTTTTTGGGATCGATTGCTTCTGGCTCAGCTCAGGAGTATTGTTGCCGTGCACAGTTTCCCCAGGGGTAATCATTTGACACTGATAAAAGGGGGGGAAAGGTAGGCGGGACAGTGGAGGGGGGGGGGGGAAAAGGATGACAGTGTTTCCACCATGGGAAAAAGGTCTCTGTGGGGATTGGAGGACAGCTGGGGTAATTCTTCCAACTGTTGAAGCGGGTCAGGGAAGGCTTGGGAAAAGAGGACATGAAGAAGAGTCGCAGGCAGAGAAATTCAAAGAGGGTTGTGCAGTTTAGAAGGCATTTTGCAGCTTCAAACCACCTCACCCTTCTTTGAAACATATGTATACTAATCACTAATTGATAAGAGGCAGTTTTGGCTTTCACACATACAGTTTTGGCTTTCACACATACAGTCAACAGGTAGACACATTGGAGATTCTGCCGCATGTGGAAATATAGGAGCGTCAAATTAATGGCAGTTTACGGCTTCTGTGTTTGGGCCAGGTGATCTAAAACCTGGGTGGTCCCTGCTGACTGACTCTGAGACTTATTAACCATCAATCAGGAATAGGATTTCAGGTGTTTAACCCTGTAATGCCAAATGTATTTGATACATACGGTTTCTGAAATGTTTTGCGTCTGACACCTTTTGCATAATTCAATGGTAAAAACTTTGCTCCAAATCCTATTGCACACAATCAGATACACCTGATAACAGGGGGCAGAAGACTAAACAAAAAATAATCTTGACTTATCGCATAGTAATAAATTATCAATATCAAAAATGTATTTCTGTTTTTTCTTTTTACATATTTTGTTAAAAGGTCAAATAAGGAATTCAAACCCAAAAAAAGTCATTTTCTGTTTTGTTTCATTCTTGGATCAGGCTTTAAAGGGTTAAGCACAACAGAGAGGAAAGTAACCAAAGGAGAGACGATTTACTGTACTGTACTATATGGCAGAAACAGTAAGACTTCAAGAGTGTATGTGTGTGTGTGCGTGCGTGAGTGTGTCTGTGCGTGCGTGCATGCATGTGTGTGTGTGTGTGTGTGTCCGTGTGTTTGAGGTTAGCCTTGCGTACCGGTGGATATCCTAATCAGCTGAGCTGGTGGTGAGATGAAAGAATGTGAAGATTATTGCCTGGTAATTGTTTCCAGAGAGCTACAGCGCTGCCATATCTCGAACAAAAAAAAAACGTCCAGTGAACTGCGTGCGCGTGGACGCGTGCACGTGAAATTTGCCCCGACTGCATGCAGCGCCATGCAAGGACACATGAGCAATTTTCTCTGAGATAAGGCCAACCCGATGGATTATAGGACTAGTAGCAAGTCCAGGAAACTAACTCTGTTAGTCCCCCTTTGCCCTTCATTTACTGATCTCAAAGAAAAACACACTTTGCAACTGTAATTTCCCTGTCCACCGACTTAACCACAATCCTGCCAATCTTCCATCGAGGCTAATACGTTTGCGTGCAAAACAGCAAAAACAACACACCCAGAGACGTGTGCTCGAACCGATAAACTCGTCACTCCACCGTCTATTCAACAATTCAAATACTATTTTCTTTCCCCCTCCCGATGAGAGACCCGTCTCGGTTAGTCGGCCCTGACGGGGCAAGGAGAACGGCGAGCGTTCTCAAACAAAGAGAGAAACAGAGAAGCGTTTGGGTTTGTTTTGTTATCATTCTAAAAAAAAACATTCTCCTTTGGAGAACGAGCAAGGGGAGAGAGCCGTTTCCTTCGCTGCGAGAGCTACAGAATCTCCAAACCCAAACAATCAGGTTAGAATAAATAAAGTCAACTGCCGGAGTGTGGAGATCTCGGCGGAGCATCCAAAAAAACTCCACCTCAGTCAGATATGAGAGGCGGGCAATCCGCTCTAAAGATGAGCAAAGGGGATTTGTGTGTGTTGAGGAGAAATGTAAACCTTTACTTTATGTCAGTGTCACATCGGAACAAATGGAATCGGAAGGCCTTTTACAGATACAACCAAGTTCAAGTCTGTTAGAACCCAATGCACTGCAATACAATCAAAGAATCATTTAAATCCATTTTATTCCAGCACCCTAACCTAGTCTCTCTCCTGAGAAGCTTCGATTGCTTCTTTGTCATTTTTCACCATTTAAAAACTAACCTTGCGTAAATGATCTGCACAGAGAAAGTTAGGTGCGCATTCACAGATGCATCCTGTGAGCTGCTAAAATTGTTTTGCACGGCATAGCAATGCCCGGCCTCACCTGGTTTCCTCTCTGCTGGTGTAAATGTGTCCAGACGTCGGCGCTCACAGGAAACCTCCTCCCTAAACAGCTGTTTCCACGTGTCCCACCACCCAGTGTCCCCGTACACGAGGAAACGGAGAAGCCGCGCCGCAGTCTCTGCCTCAGAAGTCGGGTTCACACACAATCTGTGAACATCACATCATGAATTCCAAAATTCTGAGGGGGGGAAAAAAATGATAGATTCATCTGGGAAATGGTTCGAATAACACTAAATTGGTTCACAGCGAGACGTTTGGAAATATTAACTGTCAGAAGGGATCATTTTTCCACTTTGATCAGACTGGGTATATAATACAGAACAATATGACCTTGTTCCGAATGAGAGAATTAACCAGAGAGCACTGGTGACTGAGTGGCTGTTTGAATCGTAATGCACCCCTTGGGGAAACACTGTTTTTCTCATGCAAAATTCATTATGCTGACTTATTCCCGTGAAACCGAGAAGACAGGGAGGAGCAAAGATGGAAGTATATCTGTGTATATTACACAAAACAAGCTGTCAAAGAGGAGTATAAATATTGAGGCTGTCAGCATGTGTGGCAGACTGTGCCAACAAACCACAGTTTACATCAGGGGAACTGGGCTAACGCTAACTCTCACTTGCACCGGGAAGGGAGAGTGGTTAGTTGGTTTTAAAAGCCAGAGCCTTTTTTCTGCTTCTCCACCCTCCCTCCGCTTTCCTGTTTTTTGCTCAGTTTCTTCTCAAGAGCCTGCAGATGTGTAGATATGCGAAAGAAAACAGGCAGCACCATTGAGAGACATGCCAGAAAAACAAAGACCTCTGAACTGTACAAACACAACAGCCGAAAAAACTGCAGCAAGGACCACCCATGACGGTGACAAGTGGACAACCAGGACCTTAATGACTCTCTTATAGGAGGGTGCTGCTTGATAAAAAACACATCCTGGCATGAATGGACAAAGAGTCCTGTACAGATGTGCCAAAAACTATTACTTGACAGAAACAAAAGTAGGAGTAATCAAAGACTGCATGAAAAAGACAACTTCGGAGTCACCAACCCACACTGGCTGGACATTCATTTTTTAGATTAGCATTTAGTTTTTTGTTTTTTTTACAATAACCTTTTGTTTTAAAAAAGGAAAGTTGTAAGTGGGTGTTGTAATGTTTCTCATTTGATTCTGAATGGCATGCTTGATTACATAAGACATAGGTTGTAAGATCATAAATGTGAGGGTTAGATATCCACTGAAAAAACAGATGAATTGGGACATTTGTCCCATTGAAATTATCCTCTTTGTATTTGATCTTTTTTTGCAACTGCAACTGGCTTAAAAATTCTGGTTGGACGCTTTTTTTTCTCTCTTTTTTCAAATTTTTTTAGTCAGCCTTGTGTTGTGAGCTGTGAAAAATTTGGCATCGACTATTCAACAAACATGGCATTCACCATATTACTCCCTTATTATAATCCATTAACTCCTGACCCCACGCACCAACCAGTGGCTCAGGACACCAGATTCTTACTTGTTAGCCTGTCTTTGAATAGAAAGAGCTACACATTACTACACATGCCTTCATTTGAACTAAACAGACTAAACCAAGAGTTAGATTACTTTAAATTGACACAGCCCCCACAAGACGGATCCATTGACCTGCTAAGGGGGCCAGTCCATTGGACCCCATTATGAGGGACCTCATTGAACACAGAATTGACTAAGTTTTGTATGAAAGAGAACAGTATAGGTTTTTAAAAAGGCTCTTTATCCGCAAATCAGCAGGACTTGGGAGGTACATTCGCTGCGATTCTGAAAAAAACATGCATGGTATCCATGTTCTCATCTCAGAAAGCAAGATGTGAAAGACAACACTGGAGCATGTAGATAGCCTCAGCCTTTTTGAGTCTGGTCAAGCACACTTACCGGAGTGATTTGTTCGTTCGGTTTTAAGAGGAGTAATCTCTGAATTTTAATCAGACAATGACCCTTGACCAAACATTAATAACAAAACATAACAAACGTGATTGTGAGACAAGCTGAACAGAACCTCATCCATACCTCCAGCCATCCACAAAGAAGTTCACAGAAGCCTCTAACCCATCCAAATTCACCACATGACAAGCATGGGGAGTTGTGGGGTCGTATCCAAGCATTCTTGTACTTTTCAGGCCGGGTTGCTATGTTTTATACATAACCTGAAGAAGGAAATCAAGATTTGGCCATCTTACAACGTAGGTCAGTGGCCCTCAGAAATATGTTAACATTGGAATATTACTTAAAGCGCTCCGATTATTCAGCACAACTGCAAAAACTGGGCAGGGGTTTACATGTTGGCCGGCCACGATACGACAAGTTTGGAAGGTTGACATTTTGCATCACATCACCCACAGTTGATATTCGCATTTATTAAATAACCAGGCGACCTGAGCCAGGCCTTAAGGTTGGAATCTTGCTTTGCCTTATTTTGTATGAATAAGAACAAGAGCAGTCAAACTAAAATAAAAGTCAGTAAAAAAGGAAACTCTACCACTGATCTCACATCGGGAATTTTTTTTTACACACATCCACCCTGTGTGGTAAGGCTCGAACAGTTTATCATTATTCACTCTTTTAATAAGATGTCATTGGTATTTGACGATGATTTTACATCAGTTTGGGAGCCACTCAAAGGATTTCCTGGGATTATCTGAGCGACAACACCATGACTTATGCAGATGATAAGAAATCATTTCACAGCGATGTAGGAATACTTACTATTTGTTGTACTAATTGTTGTCTGAAAGACTCATGATGGGCAAAACCTACTGTTCATTGTGGTTATTGATCTCAAAAACAAAATCTGAAACAATAAAACGTCCTTTAAAAAGCATGGTTTGTGTTCCAGAAGCCCCTCCATCCTCCACAGGTGGAGCTGTCTGCTTCCGGCTTGGGCGCATTTCTCCCAACGCTTGAGAATGTTCTGTTTGCTAATCTCAGGGTGTTTATGAGGAAGAGACGCAGGCCTGGATCTGCTCAGGACATCTACATTTTCTCACGTAGATTTCCTGCTTTGACTATCTGCAACTGGTGGACTAGTCTTATCTTTCCTGAGGCAGACGGATAAACATTATTGTTGGAGGTCAGGCCAGTTCTTGAATAGGACGAGGTTGTGACTCTTGTCAGCTGCACGTATTGCATGCTCAGGAAAGACATAAAGATGGGGTTCTGTAAATGCAGCAATATATAGAACAAGGGAGGATTCAAAGTAAAAGACAAGCCAGTTTTAAAAGTTCCATCATGGCATACAATCTCTTATTTCTTATGCCTTATAGATATGTACACTGAAATCTGTAAAGCCTATATTGGATGATAACAGCTGCAGACAAGAGTTACTCCAAGCAAAACCGGTAATTTTTTTTTTTTTTTTTGTGGTGGTGGTTGAAATTCAAGGAAATGCTGTGGAAATTCCAAAACAAACAAACGTTTGTGCTTTGCATTCAGCCCCCTGACACCACTGAACTTTAAAATGCAAATAACTTGGGGAGAGATTGAGATAGGCTTGTGCTGTATCTGGGTCAATTTCTCATGGTTGAAAGAATGTGAAGTACAGAATGAGAACGTTTACAAAAAATAAAAAAAACGGTAATGATTTCCTTGATGGTGCAATTCCTGTCAAATTGCATAAAATTGTCTCTATCGCCATTTTAGCTCTTTATTTAAATCTCAAATTAAAGTGCAGACAGCACACTGGGCTTTCATGCTCTGGTTAATATCTGATTATGTTTTCATGTTTGCCCAAGATTTCAGTGTGATAGCGGAACACTTAAATAAAAATCAAACAAAATATTTCCATATGGTCTTAGTAACTTTCGGCTATACATCTGACAACCTTGTCTAGAAAAACCCATCAAATTTTACATGTATAGACTTTCTTTCTTTGCTCGAGGCACATTTTTTTCTCTTTCCTGACTTTTGTGTTATGAACCTAAAGTCACGGTATCCTGGAAAACATATCAGAGTTCTCTTTGAAGGACACGCCACCATTTGACTTGATTCAACACCACTGTTTAATACAACAAACCCTGAACGCCACAGCATATATGTAATGTACATGGGAAACCCCTCCATTCCCCTGCTGGCCTTATGGTCATTAACATTCTCCTTCTATGCTTTCTTTGTCTTTCTTCTCAAGCCTGTTGCGCTCCATCCTCTACATATTCTGCCTTGGTGTGTTTTAAAGGCTGCCTTCAACCCAACCACGGGCTGTGGTTCTCTCCTAAATCATTCACATGGAACTGGTTAGGACGACATTCCTTCCACAGAGGGAATGTCTGGAAGCAAGCGCCTGTAATACAGAAATCATAAACGGGAGGTCCAGCTCAATCACATTTTAGGGAACTCTCACCTTCTACGAGGTTCTTCAGGAGATTCTGCTCCCCCTCGTTTGTCTTTTGAGAAGCTGTGAGGAAGGTGATTGGAAAGGATTTGCTGATCCCGCATATTTGGATCAGACGTGAAATTTTGTTGCTAGTGATAGCTTCTGTTAGCAAGGCCAAGGTAACTGCATGTCAGTGTGGCGGCTGGCACCATCGCCTCACAGCAAGAGGGTGGAGTTTGCATGTTCTCCTCATCTATAGACGGGTTCTGTCCGGCTTCATTCCAGATTCCAAAAACATCTACTTAAGGTTAACGGATTTTTCTACACTTCCCGTGGGAGTTTGAATGGGAGTCTGTGTGGTTGTTTGTCTCCGTGGGGCCCCGTGACTGTTGGTCCGTGGACTGGCCACTGGTCAAGTAATGTCCATGGATGGATGTTCATGTGCGTTATGTCTGGAGGGTGAAGCTGAACCATACTGATAAGCGAACCGAGCTGACATTTGTTGGTTAATACAACAATTTTGCATGCGCTGATAAAATTAATGGATGAAACCAGAAAACAATGTAATTTGGTGTTCAACGTTAGCAATGCTGAATGTGATCGATCGAAGATGGCAGCTAGCTTGCAGTGCACGACAGATGGGACGTAAATAAACTGAAAATGGAACTCCACAAATACCACACAAAAACGTGCGATCTTACATGTCCTCAGCTAGCCTTTAAAACATGTTCGCCATCCTATGATGTCACAAGGTTCTCGCAGATCATCCACATCCAGCAGCTGTTCATGGCATTGGTGTTTAAATATTGAGATTTCTGCAGGCTCCCTCAAGCTTCTGTGTGCCTCTTCTGGTGTTCCACATCAGTCCTGTTTGATCTACAATGTTTGATCTGCTCTGTGCAGTGCATGAAAAATTTGAGTTTCAAATCGAGCGGCTCTCCAAATTGGCTGAGTCCGTTGCCACTGAAAATAATTTCTTTGGACACTTCAGATGCTGAGAGGTTCTCATGAAGTAACGACCCAAAGATCAGGGTTTTCGTTGAGTTTTAGAAAAACTTCCCAACTTCTCTGAAGAAGCGGTTGGTATAACAAATCAATCTTCTTTTGTGGAGCACTTTTTTCCCAGAAAGCATGAGTCATAAGTCCTTGCCATGCTCGTCTTATTTTCACTGTGCTTCCCTGGAACTGCACGTCCTTCCTAATAAGCTCCAACAAGTCTTTGGCAGTTTTCTGGCTCATTTCAGGAAGCCTACAGATGTCCCTGCCTCTGTTTCCTCCTCCTGTTTCTCCCCTAATGCACTTGGCCTTAATTTGTCCTGTTGGATAGAGGCAAAGCAAAAAAAACAGGGCAGCAGAGGATTGCCTTTTGTCCCTGTGCTTCAGTCAAGTGCCAAGGTAAAGGAGTGGGTTTTCAGCTTGTTTCCACTCCTGGTCTTTGGCAGGAGAAATTGTGACACACAAAGAAAGATTGAAGAAATAATTTCTCAGTCAAGAGCTTAGGGATCCTTTTAGGAAAGAACTTCGTGGAGAATGAGCTGGTTTGAACATTTTCAAAGTAAGAAAACACTATTTTGTGCAAATAGGGAAAGCTTTTATCTCACACTGATCATTCAACTTATTGATCTGATCTAAATCCCATCAAGATAGTCAGTGTTCGCGTAGGATCACGGTATTTTTACCATCAATTAACCTCAGGTCAGTGTTATTTTAAGCCAGCATCATTATGTTCAGCTTCATAGGATTTATCCAAATTCTTTGTTGATTGTCCTATTTTGCTATTGCTGTCTGACTGGTTTTGTTATTCTCTTTGTTTTTACTCAAACACTAAGGCATCTCCACATCACTTCTGATTTGGGTTTCTTAAAGGAAGCACTCCATCACTGGACCAAGGAAAAACTGGCTGATGGGAAACAATGGTGCCCTTGAATTTCTCCATCTCATTTCGTATGTAATGATATCTAGATTAAACCTAATATTATTGTTGGCCCGTGCAAGCCTATTACAATTTTCTCTCACCCATGTCTGCGTAGAAATTGTCCTTATTTCAAAACTGCAGCCTTACTTCCAGCTTCCCTATTTCAGCTTTTTGGGATGGGGAAAAGGAAAAAGGAGAGGGGTAATTACAGTGTAAAGAGGAAGAGAATACTGAAGTAATGAGGGAACATGAAGCCTTAAAGATCAACTGATACACAGGGGATGGAATTTTATAACAGCCTTAAATTCAAGCTGGTTTATCCATAGGCCAATTCCACTTATCTAAGCTTCAGCATGAACACATGACAGAACATTTTAAGACAAAAAAGTTGAAGGTCATATTGGTCTTATTTAAATTATTTTTTGGAAACAAATTATTAGTTACATTTACAGTCCAACTTTCAGTATCCAATAACACTAGATGACCAATTTATAAGCATAAACAAGAAGTAATGGCTGGATAGAAGACAGTGAGTTGTAACAGCGTCTTACTGTGTTTCATTAAGTCATTAAGTCAAAGTTTACATCATTCTTATGTAAATCATTGCCAGTTAACATCAGTTGTCAAAAACCATTAGATAAATGTCACCTCTCCCTCGGCCAGATTTTAGTGTAAAGGTTGGTGAATGGAAAAGCAGCTGGCGCTTAGTTATCGAAGAAGTCTGTCACTGGAAAAACAAGCCACTGAGCAAGCACGAGATGCTGAGCAAACTTGATCCTTCCCAGGTTGAGTACACACAAATGTTGGTATTTTTAGAAACAGGATTTTTCCTTCCTCTCTTCTCAAAAAGAGAAGAAAAAAAAATGTCTGTTAACAAAGTTAGAACTGGCATGATGCTGATGTTTCTCTTTGCCATGTAATTGTGCACAATCTGATGTCTCAAACCAGAAACCCAGGTTTTCCAGCCCACACACAAACATTAAAGTTGGCATGAGTGGAAATGTCCATTCTGAAAGTTATTTTCCAATAAGTTGGGTTTTGGGTCCACACAACTGCGTTTTCAAGATAAACAAGCGCATCTCCTATCTCCTATCTCTTACCCATACCTTTATACCCCCTCTACTCCTCTTTCTTTACTTCCCTCTATCTTTTCACGGTCACCACTGACTCTGAGTAGGGATTTTCCTCTAGAGAATTTATTGTCAAATTGATGATAACTGTAACATTGTGTCTACTTTTTAATTCGCTTTGGATAAAAGCGTGTGCTAAATGCATAAAGATAAACATAAACAGTCCCAAAAAAGGAACAGACAAACTATTTCCACATATAAAAATGCATGTAATTTTATGAACAGGGCCTTAGACCTTAGAGTAAAAAAAAGAATCAAAGTTTTTCACTAAAATCCATACTCAACTTGGAAAAATCTTCTCCCCTCTCACCTGTCCTCCTGTCCTGACCTGCGTCTCCTGAAAAACAGTCAGCAGCACACAGAAGCATGGGGAAAGCTGTCTGGGTCAATGTGCTGGCCTCATAAAGAGGCCTGCCTAATCACCGTTTGGATCAGCACCGAGAACAGAGCAGGCTGCACCTTTTTATCCCAAACCAAAGACAACATTAAGGGATTCTTTGGAGGCATTGCAGACATTCTTCAGAAGGAAGTAGGAGGGATGAAATAAGAGAGAAATGAGAGAGGAACTGACCTCGTTTTTAAAAAAAAATAAAATAAGAGTAGACAGTGAGGAAGTGGAGCTCGCCGAGGAAGATGCTGGAATCACGGCTTTTTCTTTAGCGTGTTTGGAATATGCCTCATGCCATCAAAAACCACTTGACTTCAGCCTCCGTTTTTTTTGGTTCTTCTCTTCATTTTTCTTTCTTCTGCCTTATTCTTCTCATTGTTTAATATCAACCACACACACACACAGTCACACAGATACACAGTCTGGACCTATGGTTTCATCGGTGACCTGGGGTAATTAATTAGTCCCTTAACTAGGGGCTGTTTGTACAGATGGACCTCCTCCCAGAGAACTGGCCACCCTTTTCGCGATGCTATTTCCGCTCTCCTGTCAGCCTGACATACCGCACGCTGTGTAAACACGGACACTCGCTGAACACGGCGAGCAGCACAGCTCTCAGAGCGCATGACTCTAAAAGCGCGATCTAGTTCCCCTGCACACAGTTCAACAAGGGTTTCTACCCCTGCGAGCCGAATATCCTGTTAACAGAGAAACAAGCTTTTTTTTTTGTTCTGATAGAGACTCTGGCCACATTTAGGAGCAGAAAATAGAACAAATGTAAAGAAAATGAACTCAAAACAAAGAATGGCGGCTGGAAGGAGAAAGAAAATTGAAAGCGGTGGCAGTCAGAGGATGGGATTGGAGACATTTTGGCCGGGGATGCCAGAAAGGAATCAGTGAATAACTTGGCTTGTTTCTTTGTGGTGAGAACAGCATGGGCTGGAGGCTGGAGCCAGAGCCCACAATGTCTAGCCTGGAAGGTTCTCTCATTAGAGAGGATGGAGCACAAACTCCTGGGAACTGCGGCGCTCATGAGAGATCTGGGAATGCTCACTATGAAGGCCATCTTAACGTATAAAGTAATAGTATTTTTCACTTTTTGAGCAATAGTTGCTTTTGTGTTTTGTCTCTGTTTCTGGTGTTTATGGTGATGCTCACAGCTGACATGGGAATATCCCCCCCGGGTGCTTTTTGCCAGCTCAGAACGTGTCTGAGAGTATCCAATGAGACATGAGCTTAGGCTCTCTACAGTCTCCAACTCCAGAAAAGCCTCCTTTGAAGAAGTGGAATGGCATGCCTGTGTTTTTTGTTTAAACACTGGTTTAGAACTCTCAGGGAGCTAAGCTAAGCTGGTTGGCAAGAGAAATGATAAAACGCAGGGAAGGAGCATGAAAGGAAAGGGGAGAAGAAAAGCTAAGGGTACAAATATTCCAGTGTGGGGTCCTCAGCATTCAGCTCATCCGACCATCTGTGGCAAAGCCTCAGAGGCGGCCTTAAATGTTCCGCTATAAATGAGGAGAAAAAATATTTGAACCTGTGTACTCAGCCGTAAACTATAAACCATCAGGAGCCTTAACAAGAGCCAGGAACATGTAATTGTAACAATCAAAAAGTCATAGGGATACATATGCAGAAGTGTGTTCTTTCCAAAATTACCCCTGGCATGTGGATCCAATAGCGGGCCATAAA